TACTGGTAGGGGACCACCAAACTTAATTGTTGATAATAATTTCTGCTATTGAATTTTTGCGAGTTTGGGGTACCCCCAGCTTTGGACAAAGCCGCAGGTGAGCAACATGCCAGTGTCCGAGAGGCATTGGGAGTTGCACCGGTGCGGTACGTTGGGATTCTTCAGATATGTAGCGCCTACATGTGCTTCTGTCATTTTGCAAAATCTATTTCTTGCGAATGTTGGTTACACCATACTAGGATACTCTTGAATGATTGCAGGCGCTCAAGCCTGTTCTTTGGGCCCAATAAACACTTCTGTGCTGAACATCGCAGACCTCACACGTGCAGTTGGTTCATCCGTTTGAGCTGCGAGTGTTTGAGTTCTTCAGGACTGGATTTTGTTGAGAGCTGAACTCCACTGGATCTTGTCATTTTCCGTCTGACCTTCAGGTGGGCCTTGGAAGTTGGTTACGAAGCCCTGTTTGACGCAGGTGGATGCTAGTGGCGATGCCATCTGAGTGGAGTTTGCCGGCACTATTGGCACTTCCATGGCGGGAAACGGAAGCTTTCATGGCCCGGGAGGTTACACCAAGCAGTCGCTTCGGCGTTTGAAGGGTGATGTCCTGGTGACGGGCTCAGAGTTTCGGATCGTCCAAACCTTTGAGAGCGATGATACTTAGGTGGGGGTGCATACTGTGGAGAACCAGCTGAACTTCAGGAGCTGGATTTAGGTGGCGAAGATAATGGATGCTCATTCACACGGCTATGACCAGCCTGCAGACTTTTATTTGCTGCTGTCATCCAACGTACTAACATGAGTGGGCCAACCATGGTCATGGTCAGTCATGGTCTATCTACAGTGGAGGTGAATATTGTAGAGCTTCGCAAACCGGCGATGCCATAAGGGTTATGTATAGTAGTGTGAGCATTGGTGTTGTTCATGTGCTCTACGCGTGCGCACAGGTGCAGAGCACAGTGTGATGTTCTTGTCATACGGCAGCTTACCACACATCTTTTTGTCGTGCTTGTTCTTCTTGTTCTTGTTCTTCTTCTTGTTGTTGTTGTTGTTGTCGTCGTGGTTGTTGTTGTTGTTGTTGTTGTTGTTGTTGTTGTTGTTGTCGTTGTCGTCGTCGTCGTTGTCGTTGTTGTTGTTGTTGTTGGTTGTTGTTGGTGGTGGTGGTTGGTGGTGGTGCAGTGGTGGTGGTTGTTGTTGTCGTTGTCGTCGTCGTCGTCGTCGTCGCCGTCGTCATCGTCGTGGTCGTGGTCGTGGTCGTCGTCGTCGTCATCGTTGTTGTTGTTGTTGTTGTTGTTGTTGTTGTTGTTGTTGTTGTTGTTGTTGTTGTTGTACGTGTTGTACGTTTTGTTGTTGTTGTTGTTGTTGTTGTTGTTGTTGTTGTTTGTTGTTGGTTGTTGGTTGTTGGTTGTTGGTTGTTGGTTGTTGGTTGTTGGTTGTTGGTTGTTGGTTGTTGGTTGTTGGTTGTTGGTTGTTGGTTGTTGGTTGTTGGTTGTTGGTTGTTGGTTGTTGGTTGTTGGTTGTTGGTTGTTGGTGTTGGTGTTGGTGTTGGTTTGTGGTTGGTGGTTGGTGGTTGGTGGTTGGTGGTTGGTGGTTGGTGGTTGGTGGTTGGTGGTTGGTGGTTGGTGGTTGGTGGTTGGTGGTTGGTGGTTGGGGGGTTTGGTGGTTGGTGGTTGGTTGGTTGGTGGTTGGTGGTTGGTGGTTGGTGGTTGGTGGTTGGTGGTTGGTGGTTGGTGGTTGGTGGTTGGTGGTTTTTGTTGGTTTTGTTGGTTTTGTTGGTGTTGTTGGTGTTGTTGGTGTTGTTGGTGGTTGTTGGTGGTTGTTGTTGGTGTTGTTGGTGTTGTTGGTGTTGTTGTTGGTGTTGTTGGTGTTGTTGTTGTTGTTGTTGTCGTGGTCGTGGTTGTGGTTGTGGTTGTGGTTGTGGTTGTTGTTGTTGTTGTTGTTGTTGTTGTTGTTGTTGCAACACAGCTTAGTTTCAAATTTTTGTGCGCCCCGAGAAATCGTCAAATAGGTGGTGTTTTCGCATTTTTTTGACACTCTCGAAGCAAGAACACCGTAAATACCGATATTTTTTGCGCCTCGGAAGCCCAAAACCACGGTATTTACGATGTTTTGTGCTTCTGGTACACAAATCACGGGTATTTACAATGTTTTTGTGCCCGCTCCTAGCAAAAAAATCACTGGTATTTACGCAGTTTTCACAATGTTGCAAGATGTAGTTTCTATATGCGAAAAAGACAAGACACTGTATTCTACATTGTTTTTGCTTCCCGAGCAGAGCAAAAAATCGTCAAAAAATGGTTCAAAAACGGCCGAAAATCGACTTCCAAAAGCATCTTATAATTTTAGCCTCTTTCTTCCCGGCCCTGAAGGATTTTGGGGGGTCGGCGGCAGAGGCGCGCCCCGGGTAGCTAAAGCTAGGGTATGCAAGGTACACCGCACACGGCGAGGCATCGCCGGATTTGTGTCGGCGATCCCGAAGATGAAGACAAGACGGAGCGCTTAGAATCAAGGTATACGTCTTTGAAAGAGATGCCTATTCCGGAGAATTTGAAAATGACATGATGCAGCTTCCCAAAAAGCGAGCGTCCGCCACGCCTAGACGCCACGCTTAACCAGTAAAGCGGTGAAAAGCGACGACGCCACAAGACCGCGCCTCCCAAGTCATTCGTGTCCTTTGTCAAATCCGTACAAAAGAGTTAAAAAGGAATAGTCGAACAAACGTGGCCAAAAACGAGCGAGGGCAGTAAAGGACGGAGATGCCACAAAACCTCGGCCAAACAGTCCCTAGCATCCTATCTGAAACCCATAGAAAAGAGCCAAAGAAATAGCGCAAAACGGCAGCAAAAAGGAGCCTCCGCCACTCCTAAACAGCAGGGCAATGAAGGACGGAGATGCCACAAGACCTCGGCCAAAAAGTCCCTAACGTCCTGTCTGAAATCCGCAGAAAAGAGTGTAAGAAATAGCGCAAAACCGCAGCAAAAACGAGCCTCCGCCACGCCTAAACAGCAGGGCAGTGAAGGACGGGGCTGCCACAAAACCTCAGCCAAAAAGTCCCTAACGTCTTGTCTGAAATCCGTAGTAAAGACGGTAAGAAATACCGCAAAACGGCGGCAAAAACGAGCCTCCGCCACGCCTAAACAGAAGGGCAGCGAAGGACGGACAAGTCTCTAACGTCCCGCCTGAAATCCGTAGAAAAGAGTTAAAGAAATAGTGCAAAACGGCAGCAAAAACGAGCCCCCGCCACGCCTAAACAGCAAGGCAATGCCACAAGACCTCGGCCAAAAAGTCCCTAACGTCCTGTCTGAAATCCGTAGAAAAGAGTTCAAGAAGTACGGCAAAAGTTGCAAAAACAAGCTTCCGCCACGCCTAAACAGCAGGGCGGTGAAGGACGTGGATGCCACAAAACCCAAAAAGTCTTTAACGTCCTGTCTGAAATCCGTAGGAGAAATAGCGCAAAACGGCGGCAAAAACGAGCCTCCGCCACGCTTAAACAGCAAGGCAGTGAAGGACGGAGATGCCACAAGACCTCGGCCAAAAAGGCCGTAAGGTCCTGGTTAAAATCCGTAGAAAAAAGCTCAAGAAGCACCGCAAACCTGCTGCAAAAACAAGAGAAAAGCATCGAATCGCAGCTTGAACCGCAGCTCAAAGCACACCTGCAGGCCGAATGAGATCCCAGAAAAATTGCTTTTTGAACAAAACTACTTTTTGAACCGCCTGCGAAACAGCAAAGCACCATGGCACGGAAGTACGGAATGAGTTCCGAGGCTTAACGCCCCTTCTGGATCTCCAAGAGAAAAGGTTCGAATCGCAGCTTGAACCGCAGCTGAAGCACACCTGCCGGATGGGAAAACGCCATCTATCTATCTAATCGAATCTAATCTAATCTTATCGTATCTTTTTCTTTTCTTATCTTATTTGATCCTATCCTATCCTATCCTTTCTTATCTTATCTTAACCTATCCTACCCTATCCTACCCTATCCTATCCTATCCTTTCCTATTCTATCCTCTTCTATCCTATCCTATCCTATCTTATCTGATCTTATCTGATCTTATCTGATCTTATCTGATCTTATCTGATCTTATCTGATCTTATCTTATCTTATCTTATCTATTCTTATCTTATCTTATCTATTCTTATCTACTCTTATCTATTCTTATCTATCCTGACCAATTCTTATCTATCTGTCTGTCTGTCTGTCTGTCTATCTATCTATCGATCGATCGATCTATCTATCGATCGATCTATCTATCTATTCTAATCTAATCTAATCTAATCCAATCCAATCTAATCTAATCTTATCTATCTAATCTAATCGAATCGAATCGAATCGAATCTAACCTAATCTAATCTAATCTAATCTAATCTATCTATCTATCTATCTATCTAAAAATCTATCTCAAGATTTATCTATCTATCTAAAAATCTATCTATCTATCTAAAAATCTATCTATCTATCTAAAAATCTATCTATCTATCTATCTATCTATCTGTCTATCTGTCTATCTATCTATCTATCTCTCTCTCTCTATCTATCTCTATCTGAATCTATCGGAATCTATTGGAATCTATCGGAATCTATCGGAACCTATCCGAACCTATCGGAACCTATCGGAATCTATCGGAATCTATCGGAATCTGTCGGAATCTGTCGGAATCTGTCGGAATCTGTCGGAATCTGTCGGAATCTGTCGGAATCTGTCGGAATCTGGGAATCTGTCGGAATCTATCGGAATCTATCGGAATCTATCGGAATCTATCGGAATCTATCGGAATCTATCGGAATCTATCGGAATCTATCGGAATCTATCGGAATCTATCGGAATCTATCGGAGTCTATCGGAGTCTATCGGAGTCTATCGGAGTCTATCGGAATCTATCGGAATCTATCGGAATCTATCGGAATCTATCGGAATCTATCGGAATCTATCGGAATCTATCGGAATCTATCGGAATCTATCGGAATCTATCGGAATCTATCGGAATCTATCGGAATCTATCGGAATCTATCGGAATCTATCTCTATCGGAATCTATCGGAATCTATCGGAATCTATCGGAATCTATCGGAATCTATCGGAATCTATCGGAATCTATCGGAATCTATCTATTCTATTCTATGCTATGCTATTCTATTCTATTCTATCTATCGGATTCTATCTATCTATCTATCGGAATCTATCTATCTATCTATCTTTCTTTCTTTCTTTCTTTCTATTCTATCTGACTGTTGTTGCGAAGTTGCTGTTGACGAGTTGAGTCGGAACCTCCTATTCCCTGGCACTTTCCCCCTTGCTTGGCCGGGGCTGGCGGATTTAGAATATTTTGCAGACAGACCCGGAGTTGCTTGAAATCCCCTTTTTAAGCCATTCACCAGTCATTTCCGAGTGGACGATGGAAAGCCTCCACCAGGACATCTGAAGCGTCCTCTTTCGGCTTGGGTGGTTCGCAGGCTCGCGAGGCCAGAGACGCCAGATATGGAGACGATTTTTCAAGAAAGAGTATGAGTCAGTATGAGTATGTTCTCGTTGGATGGAGGGTGTGCCTCATTTTAGGTTTTGGTGCATGTGTCAGCGTGGGCCAAAACCAGCTGAAAAGCAACCTTGCTGTTCCATTTTCTTGCCAGGCAAACTTGCTGTCATTTCACTTGAATCTCACTGGACAGAGCATCGTGGCGCTCCCAGCAAATGACTAGCCGAATTCAATACTCCCTTATAGCACTTTTTCTGTTGCTGTGGTCATGTCCTCAAGTCTGCTCACTTTGCTGGCCATGCTGTATGGGTTTTCAAGGTTCCAGTCATACAGTCATACAGTGAAAAGTAAGATGGCTCATCATACGATTTGGATAACATGGTTTTGGATTTTGGATAACTTGTTATTTGTTTCATTGGATTCAGTTGCTTGGGAATGCAAGGTGTTCGACACAGATGGCTCATCTTCCTTTGCAGCTCTCCACCATGCTGGGATCCTTGGCGAGCTGCCATGAACCTGTGCCACAACATCTTGGGTCAAGACCGTCGACTCCGAAAGTTGGACAATGTAAGAAAAAGATGAAAAAGAAATGAAAATCTGTTGAAAATATGTTCCTGGGTCTTGAGTTTTGAATCATGTCCGTTTGAGGAGAGAAGATTGAATCGAGTTACCCGCGGCATTGCGGCATGAAGGAAGAGTTGGAAGAACATCATAGTGCCGCAACACGAACTAAAGCAATCCTCTCATTGCTTGGACTTACCTACTTCAAGAAGATATATATATATATATATAATTTATATTAATGTTCATTCCATTTCCTATCCACCTGGTCGATGCTCGGGCTCAAGACCAATCCTGGCTTCCCCAGTAGCCAACGGGTTCCTTGTAGCGTGGCAGGAGCTGGGTGACGGAGTGTGGTATTCCATGCTATTCCGGTACCCACCTGGCTACCTATTTGATCCTATTTGTCTACTGTATCTACCCTGACTATGCATCTGATCAGCGAGATAAATAGGTCGATCTGTCTATCGATATGTTTATCAGTGAATTTGTTGATTTGTTCAATTTGTCTATCTATCGATCCATCTATCTAAGCTGTCTAGATGCACGAGCAAAGGGAAATACAATCTGGCCTTGCTTGTTTGGCTCAATTGTACAACCCGTGGGATGCCTGTAGGATTGAAATCTCATGGTGCCAGGATGGCTGGGGGTTACGACCGTGCCATCACCGTGTTCTCGCCGGATGGCCATCTATTCCAAGTGGAGTACGCCCTAGAGGCACGGTGGAGCCTCGCGGAGGTTAAGGGCCTTCCAAATGGATATGTTTGTGAAACTTGCGGAGGGCAAAATGAATCCAACTTTCTCTGTTTGAGCGGGAAAACTTTGGAAAACCATTGCGATCGAAAGCCAATTCTTTTCATTTCGCAATAAAGTGTCACAGTCAAGTCATCATTGAAAACCCACCGCTACAAGACCATTGGGTGTGAAACATCCCCTCAACCGGTATGGATTTCATAATATGTCTATATGTAATTTTTGCTATTATTTCTTGCTGTTGCAGGTCTGGGTTGAAGGGAACATGTTTTGCGCCTCCCAGGCGGTCAGGAAGGGCACAACTACGGTGGGCGTCAAGGGCAAGGACTGCAACTTGTCTCTTCAGCTGTGGAGGTCTATGGTGCCGTGGCGTGTTTTGGGTCGAAACCTACCAACACGTGTTAACTGATGGAAATATTTGGATGAGAGGAATTTGGTTTCAGGTCAGGGGCTGAAGATGGCTTGCTGACAATATCCCCTCCCCAAGAATTAGGAGAGACAACACGAGACAACATGTGGCAAACCCAATCATAAACTACAGCTGCTAAATTCTACCTTTTGGGGGTATCAAAATCATGACCGTAAAAGAATGGAATTTCCTTAACACGCAGGAAGGAAACCCAATTAGGGGCAAGATCCAGGGTTGCTTATCCATGCATTGAGTAGGTTAGAATTATATGAATTTATAGCCCCAATCATTGTATTTCTAGTGTGGTTGATACCCAATGGCTCGGTGGCCTCCAATTCATTTCTGCTAAAGTTGGCTTGGACCCAAAAGATCTCATTGGTTTGCCGTTTACCCCCTTATTTTCCCCAGGTTTAGCCATGTTTAATCCCCCTCCCTAGGTTCATTGGTGTATCGGTAGCGGCCATTTTTTGAGGTGTTGTCCTGGCCGTGGAACGGCGCGCAACGCCCAAGTTGCAGGATCCCAGGTGACTCGGTGGGAAAATCTGCCATGGTCATGGATGATACCTTTTTGTGCTCAATGTTATTGATTTCCTAGGTGGCCATTGGGGTTTTCTTGTGATGCTGAAGGTGAAAAACCCGCAAACTGGAACCATGTGCCATTGGTAGGTAGGAACCTCCGAACAATTTTCCAAAGAACCTGGGGGTTTTGGACGTTTGGCGCACAGCCAAGGACAATTCGAAAAATCTTGGTGGTGGACGACAACATCGCTTTGACCTTCGCAGGCTCGAAGTGAGCCACTTCCAAGAGAGTTACTCAGCAGCCGATGCATCGCAGGTCTGAATGCAGATGCCAGGGTGCTGGTGAACAAGACGAGAGTGGAATGCCAGTCATATCGCCTGAATGTCGAGGACCATGGGATTGCATTGCTGAGAGTTTGAAAGTGGATATATATTTAGTTTTCTGCATGCCAGCATGGAATCAAGACTCTGGGGACTGAGGAATACCCCGGACAGATGCTTGCTGCCTTCTTGAAGTATCATCATCTGCAGCAGAGCCAGCTTCAATCCAGTCATTTGTGCAGATGCCAGAATCTCACAAGGGAACCTTTCACTAGCTCAGATGGTGTCAATGGCAGAGACACAGCAAGACCATCTCACAGATGATTGGTACTGTATCAGTTTCTGTCCCTGCCAAACTTGCTGTTGCTTCCTTTTGCGAGTATCAAACATTGAGTCCAGTCTAGTCTGTTTCTCCCCAAATTGATGTGCTTACTGCCGCACTTACCAACCTTACTCACCCCCAGCTGCCATCCTCAACCTTCCCAAGCACCAACTTGCTTGAACTCTGCCATGGCACGGCCTCTGACCATCGCGTTTCTGGTGCTATGCTGGCGGAAATGCGGTGCCTTTGAAAGATGTCTCGGGGAGGTGCGCACGGAATTAAGACCTGGCAATGGAAAACCATAGAAAACCCATGTTCAAAAAGGACATCATCTCAGGATTTCTCACCGCCAGGATTGATTACCGGAATGTATTAATCGTACCATTCGACAAGCGAGTACTGAAGCACTTCTGGAATAATCTAGTGTCAAGAATGAACTCATCAGCAACCTCATGTCTTAGATTTTGTGAAGGGAAAACCGACAGGAACCAATGGGTTTCTTGTGCAGGGCTACCTCCATCAGCGGCTCTGTGAAGCCTGGGAGCGACGTCGGAGTGCAGGCGTGATTTGGGGCGAGTTGGGGATGGGTAATTGGGACCACTTTTAGAGAATAAAAATCCATTTAGCAGCTGTGTCGGTGTTGCTTGTGCGGAAGTCCTTGTTTCGATTCCTATTGCTGCAGTGGAGCTACTTTTCCAAGGTTTTCCAATGAGAAGCACCGAAGTGGGTAGTGTTTCTGGGTACGTTGTGAAGAGCCCATCCTCCCCTCATTCGAAGGCGTTTTGGAGTGGCCGGCCAGCGACGACGATCTGGGGGAGTTTCATGCCTTAGATGGGCCGAGCAAAATGGTGGTGCAACTGGCGCCAAGCCGTGGCAAGAAGAGGTGGGGAAAACACCCTGAAATAGCGCTGTATATATATATTTAAATATATAATATAAAATAATATTATATATATCATATATAGTATATTATATATATATAAATAATAATATTATATTATATATTATACATTATATATTATATAATATTTTATATATTATATATTATATATTATATAATATATTATATATTATATATTATATATATTATATATATTATATATTATATATATTATATATTATATATTTTATATTTTATATTTTATATTTTATATATTATATTATTTATTATATATTATATATTTTATATTATATTATATATTGTATAATATATACAAACAACCATAAATGAACTTGCACAAACTCAAACTGACGTTCATCCCGAGTTCATCCCCTGTGTTGAAATGGCTCAATCATAGGTATTGAAAAAATCCCATGTGACAATGTGCTGCAATTTTTTATTTCAAAAAGGCCCAGCCGCGGAGGTCGTTGAACTCCCCGCAGATGAATTCGACGCGGATGCCGTTCGATGGTGAGAGATTTCACTTCGGTAAGGCCTGGGGTTGACAACTTGGACAACTTGGCAGCGGATTTGATGCAGTTTGAAGTATCAGTGGGTGAAACTGGTCCAGAGTTGTTCTAGGCCCAGCCGGTGAAGTAAAACTCAGATGACATTACAGTCTATTCCTGGCGCATCAACAACTCCACCAGAGCCTCACAGGACAATCCAGCTGCTTATTGATGTGACAGTTGACTCGCAAAAGTATGGGACTTTGATGCCATCAGCCGTTCAGCCCAACATGCCCAGGTGGACCAAGAGGAGGTCTTGCTGTGTTTCAATCCCTGGCGTCAAAGTTCATGCCATCATACAGACACTTCCAACACCTGCCACTGGCCGCAATACGCCGAGATTTCGGAGGGGAACTGCAAGGATGATCCAGCCATGGTCCTTGTGAACAAGTTCCTGTGCAGCGGTTAAGATTCTCCTGCACAAGCTGCGGTCCTTTTTTACAAAATGATGGACCTCCAAACCACCAAACCAACAGCTCCTGTCTCAGCTCTTGGATTGACCGGATCTGCATTTGTCCACAACTGGGGATATACCTCCATTGTATTCCATTGTGTGTTCCCGTCTCAAAACTAGATGAACTGGTGTTTTTTGGAGGATGCAGTATCAATCTTGCGTAAAACAACCTCGTGGGGGTATGGTTATGCGTCAAAATCTTACATCGTCTATAAACCCAAAAAATGATGGTTATTTGATACTTTGAGCTATCCAATTTTGACGCAATCCCTGCCATTGCAAGTACGGACTTCTTCATCAACCATCCACTTTGCTTTCTTGTCTCTTTGCGCCGGATCCCGCATTCCGAACAATGTCTCATCTACTTCCGCACAACTGCCCTGTGAGGCATCCGATTTGCCGGAACCATTTTTTATTGGTTCCCCGAGGGGGTGAACAACCCCAAGTGCTGACTTTGGATGCGCTGATGATGGGCCTGGCCTTTGCACTGCGCAGTTCCCGTCGACTCTGGGTGTCTTTCAATACCATTGGAGCTGGGGCTTCGGTGAACCACCTGCACCTACATGGCGCTTGGGCTGACATGGAACAGGAAACAACTAATGTCCTACAGTACACACTCCAACTTTTGAAGGTTTATATATTCACGGTCGCTTCGCGACGAAAACCCGCCCGCGCCAAGTGTAATGGATTCGGGAAGTCTAAGGAGTTCGTCGTGCTTCAGACTTGTGTTCCCTGTGTTGGGCTTATATGGAGCCTATTTGGTTAACCAATTGGTGTGGGGCCATCGGGTAGACCTGTGCTCTCTGAGCCGGGGGGAAATGGAGTTGCAACATGTATGTAGCAAGAACAAGTACGGTGGTAACATCTCCCATTTGTAGTGCCGGTGAATGGCTTGCACACATTGTACACATGCATGGGCCTATGTTGGGCCTATCTTGACCCATTTTTGGCCTATATTGGCCCAGATCAAGAATTTTGACTCCTTTTGAAAAACATGCAAAAACACAGGATTCTAGAGCAAAAATGCCCCACCCAAGCTAAAACTTATTAGCTATAATGCAATTGCTAACGGTTCACGCAGGCACACAAAAAACGCCTCGGCACCTTCGGTGCGGGCGGATTTATAAATTATAAACGTCTACGATTGGGTCAATTGTTGTGCTTATTGGGTTTCATGCATGATCAATTTTCATGGTTGCAGTTGCAGACCCTTTTTCCCCAACCCCCCAATCCCCCAACCCCGCAGCCCGTTGTCCCACTCAACCCCCGACCTGTCAACCCGATCCCCAAACCCATGTCCGACTCGTTGCAGTACACATGACCTGAGTCATGATCGCTTCATGGGGAAGCAATAGTCGGTGCAAGTGATCCTTCTCTGCCGAGGAATCATCATCATCATCATCATCATCATCGACAGGTCATGCCGGGGCCCATTTCATAAGGGTTGTTGTCCGCACGGTGTTATATTCATCAACAAGGCTTGTTACACCCATTCACAGAAATTCTTAATGATTCCCCCAACAAGGACACTCATCATCCCGGGGCACATTCTCCCAGCATGTACAGAAACGGGTATGGATCAATACCTATTAATACCATTTTTAATGGGATGAACATCCATTTACCAGCTATTTTGATGTTCACCAGGGTTACAAGGTTTTGACACACTGCCAAACAAGAACCCAGGTTTCTTCCCTGGCACTGGTGGTGTGCCACCGCGGACCCTGGACGTCTTTCCCTTCGAGCAGCAGCTCTCGAAGCTGCAGCTGGCGGCGAAACCCCGAGGACCGCTGACGCTGTCGCGCACCACTGCGTGGCCGCTCTGCGCCTGGGTGCCTTGGCTGTTTGGGGAGCTAGTTTTGGAGTCCAACCATCATTATTTTGGGGGAACCACTCTAAGGAATGAAGCAGGGTTTGTGAATCCTGCGTTGACATCATTGGTTTTTATCACTTTTATCCAATATTCGAGAATTCAAACAGTGAACATTATGATAAGACTATGGACAATCATCATTTATCATTATTTGCAAAGATCATGATAAAGATGTGGAGTATTCGAACCAAGAAAATTTGAAAGATACCATTGAAAAGACGGAGGATTTACCAAGAAAAAATGAGGCTACAAACCGAGCTGGCAAAGCAGAATTAGGCAGCAAAAACAGAGGATATACTACCCACAGACGCAGGGATTACGACTAACACCAGTTGTTCAATAATCATCATGATAGTAGGTCACTAGAACTTAACAGATGATGGGGCATTGTTTGACAGCGACGTTGTAAATACCCCAGGTGAAAATCATGGTCACTACGTAGGTCACTAGGTGATATCATCACTAACTCACATGAAAGGCTACGAATGGAGCACCAGCCACATCACGGGGTGCACAGTAACCTTTGTGGCCGGGATCAAGTGGGAAGGGCTCAAATCATATATCACCCAAATGGAAAATTGAATATATTATTAAATACCAAAAAGAAACATTGTTTATGGGTCCACTGGTACCCCATGGTTGCCATAGCCAGGTGTTTACCTGGACAGATGAAGAGGCGTTGAAGATTGACAGCAAGCTCATGGAGCGGCGGATGGCAGAGTTTGTTCATGCTTTCATTGAGACGTTGCAGGCTGGTCGGAGTTTATGGAGCGCATAGACGCCACAGTGGGCACACACATTTTCTGGTACGATTTCAGAGTCAGTGGTAGATGGTCAGGTGTATGCCGTATACCCAAAGAATGATAATCTTGGTAATATGTTACGGCGTTCTAGTGAAGGAAAGTATCCTGAACTTGTCACAGCAAACTTCTTTGTCCTTTTGCTTGCAACTATCATGGATATACCAAAAAGGGGTACAGTAAGAGAAAAACTCTGGAGTCCCTTTGGGTGTTGTGATTCATAACGCCAGTGCCATCCTCATAGGTTCCCATCGTGCCACCAAAAAGTATGCGAACCTTCTAATCTTGCATTGATTAGGAACTGCGTTTTTGGATCGAAAGGAAGTGGATTCTCCAGCGAAGATTAATGATCATATAACACCCAGCCTGATACAGATCGACTCCTTCCATTTTACAGGGTAACTGGCAAGAGCCTGATGCTTGGACGCTTGGACGGACACACGATTTCCGTATGAAACCGATAGCATAGGGCCTATAGGTAAGCTCCCGGACATGAAATCCAAAAAATACATGGGAAACTCTTGGCCACCAGAAAAAAACAAAAAACACAACAATAATGTGCTTACTAGTTTTGTTGTATCTGGGTTTTGATTTTACTGATGTTAAAGTCGTTTCTTGTAAAGGAAATGTGTTTGTAAACAACGTTGTGTTTATAAACATGTTGTGCATGTTGTATTAATGATTAATGCATATACATTTGCTCTACCACATTTAAAGCAGATGAATGATGTTATATGTTATGCGTATTACATTGCAGGACTATAACATGACATGCATGGTTATATATGGACTCGATAGATTGTCCTGAATTCAACCCTAAGATACTCCATCACCTATATTATTGTTTTCCCCACGCTGGGTAAAAGCACCGAGTCATATATGTATATATATATATGTATGTATACACAATTATACACATACACATGTGTATATAATTGTTCAGATGTTACACACAGTAGACTCATACCAAGTCCTGGATGGGACACCCATTGCCCATAGGTGCTGGACATTGCTCACAACGTCCACATTCGAATGGCACAGCGCAAGGCCGGGATGGTCATCAACAGCAAAAAAAAATGGCCAGGTATATCACCAACGTCGAGCATCAGCATTTCCACAAATATGACTACAAGGTACTCCACTGGTGCCTTCCCGTTATGAGAAAATAGCTATAAATTTCGGAGAATCACAAACGAAAGTCTAAATCTCCTTTGGGTCCCCAAGGTTTACAACATGATCGATGCTTTGTGGGTCCGGTGTTTGAACCATGCCGAGAGTCTGGTGAGGTGGTGGTCTTCCCTCGACAAACCTTGTTTGAACAGAGCCACGATGTGACGCAGTTGCAAGTCTCCGGCCATGAAGTGCTTGGCTGGTGGGTGGTGGCACGTGAGGCGATGCACTTCGGCAATCAAGATTTTTTCGTGTTACTCTAGGTACCCTCCGGCAATCAAAATGGTACTTGAAAATCATAAATGGAAACCCTATGGGGAAAATCATTTATAAATGGTGCATTTTTTTTTTTGCCATGTTTGATGACAGGACCACGAGTTGGATGGCACCCTGGCCGAAACGATGATGCGCCGGGCCCAGCTGCCAAAGACGATGCAGCAGAAGGTGTTGAAGGCGCGGTGTCCATTCCCCGTGATATCCCTATTGATATGTCCATGTCCAAAAATAGGCGATCACAGTTGTCAGAGTTGGAAACTCTGATAACTATGGTTTTGACTGTTTTGACCATCAATGATTAAGAGATTCCTTGCGCATGTTCCTTTAAGGCAACCCAGTGAACAATGAGAGGAATTCAAATTTCTGGGATATTTGAGAACTGCAATCTTGAAGAGAGTCGGTCCGCACATACAAGGTCTGTTTGGGTGACCAATAATGGGTTTCCCTCCGGACTTTTGGACATCCATTTAAGGAAATTTCAATATGATTCAAAATTGGTCGGCATGGTTTCGTGATTCTTTGTTTGTTTCCCTTTTTTGATGATGCTGGTTACCTCCTCCATTATTGTTGGCAATGTTGGTTTAATTTGTGGTCAAGTAATGTATTCATTTTTGAGGATGGGGCTGCCACCTCGTTTGGAAGGCGCTGGAGTGGATCGGTTGGTCACTCTTTGAGGATGCCAAATTCCTGTGTGATGGGGAGGCACCAACCCTTGCGTAGAAAAAATCTGGGAGGGCACTGGGTTTCACGGGGGCCATAGCTATTGGTAAAACCCCTTCAAAGCAGAAGTGTTTGCAGAAGTCGACACCAGTGCAGCCGAAGTTGGCTTGTGCGTATCCGGTGAGCTCTTGAGCCCGTTGCCATCAGCCTGTTGAAAGGCAACGTGAAAATGGGCGTTCAAAAAAGGCTTTCAGGAGGAGACTTCCAAAGAGGGTCTCCTTTGTATCACAGTTCCTTTTCTGCGAAAGAGCAAGGAAAGGAAACGTGAGCAGCAAGGGAAAACACAAAAGAACTGGAGCGAAATGAGACTTGAGTCGTTGGGTATCTTCCCTTGAATATCAGTCCAAGCCATCATGGCCCTGTACGAAAACGATATTTTTTGTTGTTTCTAATTTTTTAATCAACTCACCTCATTATCATCTTTCTGCTCCTCCGACTTCCACTCCCTCGAAGATATCTTCTCCTACACTCCTTGGACATATTCCTTCAACCGAATATGCTGATGACACAGTCATCGCTCACAGGAAACTCTCTCTCGTCTTCTCCATCTCCAGGACTTAGCAGCTCGAATCGGCCTTCTTATCAACGGCTCCAAATGTCAATTATTTTGTCTTCATTCCTCTCTACCTATTTCTCTTTCCACCCACGTCAACGCCTATTCTGAGTGTGACTCTCCTTTCTGTGACCCGGAGGCACTAGGTCCTCCTCTAACTCCACTTTCCAGCGCAAAATACATTGGATCCTTTTTTACTCCTACCTCCTCTTCCGTCCCAGATGTCAGCTTCAGATGCTCCCAGGCTTCCTCAGCCTTTAAAACCCTCGACTCCTTCTTTCATTTAACCAAAATTCAAACTCTGTGTTTATTCTCAAGTAGTCCCATCAATACTCCTCCACGGCTCTGAATCTTAAGTATATTCTCCTTCCCAATTTGCAAAAGTTGACTCTCTCCACTACAAGGCATCCTTGGACACATTCTCCGCCATCCTAACTCTCTAGAATTTCTCATTTGCTTTAACTCTTCACTTTCTCTGTACCATTTCAGCTCCTTTCCGTCGTGGTGCCCCAAGAGCCCATTGGCCCGAACTCACGCTTGCGGATGCCTCCCACCGAGTTCATCAATATCGCCATTTTCCTCCAATCTTAGGAGACTGTTCACACTCATTCTTTCTTCATTTCACGATTGTCGAACTCAAACAATACTCCTCCACTAGTATGAAGCAGTGGTACAATACAGCCAGATACATGAACCTCCTTCTTCCCATTGCTGAAGACAGGGAACGCTGGAAGCTTTTAACCCCCAAAGTGAAGTACGCAACCAAGCTTAGGGAATGCTGCTGCGGACATATAGTTTTCTGTGAACTGCATATCGCTTGTGAAAAAAAATCCTTTCATCACCCTACAAACCAAACCTTTGCCTACACTGTTTGTATATAGCCTTCTGTATCTGACGGATCAGAAACAGACTCAACTACCGATGGGTGTCTCCAGGACGCTCCAACAGTGGATTACTTGGCTAGGTGCCTTGATTTGAAGACTTGGGACTTCGGAGCAGCCAGAGCTGTCAGACAGGTTTTCTGATGTGGAAGGGTGATGCACCGCGGAGGTTTTCAGAGTGTCATTGTTTACATTCCAAAATCTATAGGCTGCTACCCCAGTCAGCCATATTGCACTGATTTGCACTGGACGCTGTAATGCCACGATCAATACTGCGTCAAATTGAAATTCCAGCCTCCAGCATGGGTTTCCACAATTCCAGGTTCTGTGGGTGTGGTTGTAAAGATACCAAGGTATCAACCACTCAGATTTGAGCAACTAATTTCCTGGTACAAACTGGGGATGCCACTGATTTCAGTGACCTTGGTGCCAGGTTTATTGCAAGAACGCAGCAGAAGTACACCCACAGAGGAGCTGGGCAGCTTGCAGTCTCCGTGCACAATAGACTTGGTCACCTTGCTGGGGATCATGTCTTAATCTGCCCAATCACATCCAATCACATCGCCTCCTTATATAATCTACATAAAATATTCTAAAACTGACACTTTTGATCATTGAATATAATTTCATCATATTTCATCATTCTCATCCTTTCTCCGCCTCCTTGCCTCCGTTCCATTCCCACTCCATGTCATCACATAACTATAAATTTATTCTAATTACCCCGGATTCCCCATCAGCATTGATAGTAGACGGATAATGATGAAATGATGTAAACCCGGAATAATTTTCCGTGATATAAGGATGATTGTTGAGAATCATGGTATAGTGTATACCATATCCTTATACCACTGTATTAAATGACATATATATAATATATATATATCTATATCTATATCTATATCTATCTATCTATCTATCTATCTATCTATATATATATATATATCAGGTATAATGATGGATAATTCCTCACTGGCAGCACCTTCATTTTGACCTCGACAGGCGGCGTTCGACCCTTTGGCATCAGCACCCTTTTGGGCGGATTCGATACCAAGGGCCAGCCGGCCTTGCAGGGAACCCGGATCAGGGTGAAAATGATGATCAAACATGATAAACCAATCTGGGGATGGGTCAAAACCCTGGTACCCCTGGTGAACCCCAAAATAGCTGGCAAATGGATGTTCATCCCCACTAAAAATGTATCTATAGGTATTGACCCATACCCATCTAAAGCATCATTTTCTTAGGGCATCTTGATTTCAAGAACGCATTTGGTGCTGAGAAGAACCAATGATGAAACCCAGGGTGGAACACCTGTTGGACTTCACCAGTGCTACAGTTGGAACTTTGGAGTTGCTGAGGTTTCAGACAGACCCTGCAGGAACCTACTATGCATGGAAGGTCATGAATGGGATATCTTGGGATCAAATCATTTTTCGTGGCTTCGTCGCTGGCCAGGCAACAGCCATTGGCAAGAACTCCAAGAGTGTGACGGACTTCTTGGAGAAGAAGTGCCTTGGCCAGCAATGGTATTGGAGGTTGGTTTCCAAAGAATTGTGAGGGCATCTAGTGTTCTTCCCCGGATAGGTATCCAGCTTCTACTTTGTCTTTGTTGTTTGGACTCAGCCCGCTACCCATTCGTCTACTTTGCCTTCTTTTGCTCCTGATTTGAAGTGCGTTCACCCAAGATACTTGATCATCTTGAGGGTCGACCTCCCACTCCAAAATTTGAATGGTTTCCTGCTCGAGCCGAAACTGAATTTGTCTCCAGCCTCGAGGTACAAAGAAGATCTAGACGAGGACTCAGCGGAACGGCTGCTGCCATTAGTGATGGCGGAATGCATGGCTGATTGGATGGGAAAATCCCATCATGGTGGATTGGGCAATTTTGTGGAGATAATCATGGTAGAATGACCCCCCAAGTCATCCTCCAAGTTCTTAGCCGCTTAGCCATAAATCATCCCCATGATGCCATGGCACAATCTCAAACAGCCCCCTATCAGCCAGGATGCCACCATCAAGTTGGCTCTCAAGGGACTACTGGAGGTCACTGAAGCTTCTGGAAAGAACATTGAGGCATCACTCCGTGACGCTGGGAGCAACTCCTGGTCTCCAGATTCAACATCCAGTCTGACTTTATGGATATTTGTAGTGGTGAACAAGTGCCATTAGAATCCAATAGATTTCGATGTCGAGATGTCAGATTTTTTGGGTCATCCGCCCTGGGATTTCGAGGTGGTGATCATCAAGCAGTCTGGCATTACGTGGATGCCAGACGAGAGCCTGGAACCTTTGGTGAAGGAATTGGATGACACAGCAGACCCTTGGCGCTGGGGGTTGGGGATGTTCTCGGGGGGATCCCATCATGACCAGAACTGTCATGACCATTGATTTCTTGATTTCGTGATCCATTTCCAGCTCTATTGGACATAGAAATCATCCATTCCAATCATCTCCAATCACATCTCATCAGTGGACAATGGATGCTGGACATCCATCAACGCTGAGGAGAAGATCGCCAAGCTCAAGGAGCAGCAGTGAGGTCCATGAGTCAACTCCAAGGGACAGCAGTCGTCACTACGAATGGATTAGGAACCGCAGGAAAGTCATATGGTCACTGAGAATACGAAGAGAATACCAGGGTCCTTCGACAGCTACCTATGATGATTGTTTTTTCCCGAGAGCGTCTGAGCGCAGGGTTCTTCCAATAGTGGGGGTCTGTATCTCACCTTCTCATCTTCACACCTTCTTATCTTCACATCTTCTCTCACCACCTTCTCATCTTCACACCTTCTCATCTTCGCATCTTCTCTCACACCTTCTCATCTTCACATCTTCTCTCACTCACACCTTCTCATCTTCACATCTTCTCATCTTCACACCTTCTCATCTTCGCATCTTCTCTCACACCTTCTCATCTTCACATCTTCTCTCACTCACACCTTCTCATCTTCACATCTTCTCTCATCACACCTTCTCATCTTCACACCTTCTCTCACACCTTCTTATCTTCACATCTTCTCTCACACCTTCTCATCTTCACATCTTCTCTCCCACCTTCTCATCTTCACACCTTCTCTCACACCTTCTTATCTTCACATCTTCTCTCACACCTTCTCATCTTCACATCTTCTCTCCCACCTTCTCATCTTCGCATCTTCTCTCACACCTTCTCATCTTCACATCTTCTCTCACTCACACCTTCTCATCTTCACATCTTCTCTCATCACACCTTCTCATCTTCACACCTTCTCTCACACCTTCTTATCTTCACATCTTCTCTCACACCTTCTCATCTTCACATCTTCTCTCCCACCTTCTCATCTTCACATCTTCTCTCACACCTTCTCATCTTCACATCTTCTCTCACACCTTCTCTCACACTTTCTCATCTTCACATCTTCTCTCACACCTTCTCATCTTCACACCTTCTCATCTTCGCATCTTCTCTCACACCTTCTCATCTTCACA